GATAATGACGCTAGATCTTGAGTGCGAAGATCACCACAACTTATTCTAAATCATGGGTTGGGTAGTTCTTCTCGTGAGTCTTTAGTTGACGTGAGGCATATGCAATGACTTTTCCATTTTTCATGAGAACGTAACCTAAACCATTGTATGAGGCATCGCTATAAATTACGAACCCATCCGTTCCCCTAAGGAGTGCTAGTATAGGAGTTGATACAAGTTTGTTTTTTAACTCTTGGAAGCAACGTTCCTACTTGTTAGTCCATTCAAAGGGTATGTTCTTCTAAGTTAGCGGGGTTAAGGGTGATGCTATCTTCGAGAAATCATGAACGAAGCATCGATAATAGCCAGCTAGACCCAAGAAGCTTCGAATCTCAGACACATTAGTAGGCGTGACCAATCTATGATTCCTGCAACTTTTTGAGGGTCAACTGAGATGCCATCCTTGTTAATGACATGACTGAGGAAGTGTATACTAGTGATCTAGAATTCGCATTTATTTAACTTGGCATAAAATTTGTGATCACGTAGTGTTTGTAGAACCGTTCGCAAGTGTTGCTCATGGTCCACCAATGACTTGGAGTATATGAGAATCTCTTGTTCACTGTGAGCTGACTCTCTCTGTCGTTATGTTTGTACGATTTTTTTTTTCCCTTGTTATGTTCACGACACCACTCTTTCATTTTGTACTAAGGTATAATACTTGCTCAACACGTTTTGGGTGACACGTAGCCAAACACGTGGCCTTGTTTGGTTTGATTTTGGGAGAAATTTTTTGAAAATATATTCTACAAACACTTTTTAAGAGTAATCAAGCCAAACAAATTTTCTCAAAAAAAACTCTCAGAAATGTGTTTGGTTATCCAATTTCCAGGATTACTTTTGAAACATGTTTAACATGTATTCACTTATTCCAAAAAGTTAGCATTCCGTCCCAATGTAATTAGAAGTACCATATAACTATTAGATTTAATAATGGAGCTTGAAAGAGATATGATATGGATAAACCTCGTCTCAAGTCAATATGTGATTGGGTTTTGTGGAACTTGCAAGATAAATGATACGGATAGGGCATGTCACTAGGGATGGGGCCTGCCTATACCCATTTAAGTGAGGTGAATTTTATTCATCCCGACAATTACGTGGGATGGGAGTAATTATATTTTGATAACCTTGTGAAGCGTTGGGACGGAGGTGGGTATCACCTCTCTTGATGTAATTTTGACTCAATAAAATTAATAATATATAAATAAATAATATATATAAATATATAATATAATATAAATAAAAAGAATACAAAAAGTCTGTGGTTCTATTTAAATATAAATAAATAATAATCTTGAAAGTCTTACTATTTATATATATGGAAACAAAAAAAATTATTTAGTGTGCTAAGTATTTAAAATAATACCCAATGTTTTTAGCTATTTGAAATGTGGTTGGGTATCCGCGGACGTAGGGATGGGATTAAAATGGGTAAACTACCAATAGGTCTTAATAGTTGGACTTAATTCCCATCAAATCTTATTGAAAATAAGTCTTGGTAAAATTGTCGCTAAAAATAATTTTTTGTGATAATTTTTTACATACGTCGTTAAAAATTGACAATTAGTGACTTCTTTTGTCACGATTTTTATAAATTGTCGCTAA